GGCGCCTGGCAGCGGCGTCGCCCACGTGACGCCCGGAGACGGCGGCTCCGCAGGGCCAAAAGGCCTCGCTTGCGCGAAGGCGCCCGCCCAGCCTCATTTGGGGTGACCCGGGGTACACCCCAAACAGCTCCCATCCCTCTGCCCGCGTCCTCCGTCCCTGGGAGCCTCCCGGGGCTCCGTGCAAAGAAGCAGCCACTGCAGCTTACGCATGCACCGTGCCCTAATTTGGGGGGGGTGGGGGTAGCTGCAAATCCAGGCCCCGCACCCCCTTGCCCCCCAACCCAGCCCTTCCCGGGCGGCTGTCTTCCCGCAGGGCGGGTGGCACAGTTGCGGTTCTTGGGTTTATGCTTTCCTCCCTTTTCTCCCCCTTTACGCTCCGGAGCGGGGTTTGGTTGCGGTTCCTTCCCTCCGCGCAGCACGGCTCAGGATTTGCACGGCGAAATAGAAATTCAAGTGGTGTTTTCAGACTCCAGGCACACCACGGGCGTATCGGTCGGGTCGGAGGTGAGCTTGGCTGCCTGCTGGGCGAGGACGGAGATGACGCCGGCGTGCTCATCTGAGAGAGTTCCTCGGCCTGCAAAAGGTGGGAGATGTTGGCTGAAGCCCCGCGTGCCGTGACAGAGCTTCGTGTCGAAGCAGCCTCCCCCCGGGGCCAAGGGGGGCTGCTCCTGCTTGGGCCCATTCGCCTCCCCTGGGGGCTGATGCAGCTTCTCACCTAACTGTTGCCCTCAAACCACCAAAAAGACTGAATTTAAGTGGCAGGAAGAGCTGGCTCGGGTTTCCTCCGCTCTGTGTGTGTGGGAAGCCGAGTACCACGGTGCAGGTGGGTGCCAGAGGGACCCTGGGGACACCCGAAAGGGGAGGGGGAGACGACTGCGGTAGGGCAGGGCCTGGCGGCCCCAGAGTGTGCGGGAGGCCCCTGCACGCCAGTCCCCTCAAACTAGGAGGGCTCCCGTCGGGCGGGGCCCGGTGCCCCCTACCTTCCCCCCGGAGTCCGTAGAGGGACTGGGCAGGGCCCGGTGCCCCCCAACACGGGGTCTCCGGTGGGGCAGGCCCCGGTACCGCCCCCCCCGCCCCC